TAGAAAAAGTTGCCGAAGTTCGTTAATCGGTCACCCTGAACCCGATAACTTGTCAAGCTTCAATTGCCTACCAAAAAAAAAAAAAAAAAAAAAGAATTAGATATTTTTAAATGTGTTATTAGTAAGCTTAAGGAAGTTTGGAATAAATTTTGAAGTACGAAATCGATCAGATAACTCTTGCCTTTCATTTCTACAAAACTTGTGGGGAAAATGATAAAAATAAAGAAAATTGAGAGTTAAAATGTTAAACCTTAACAAGAAGTCAGATTTTGTAATAAACTTGAACAACTTTGCGACATTTCAGCAGTAATTGCATATGCTGTTCATACTGTTGATTCCACGAAGACTTTCGTCTTGGAATTTGTGGCAGACCTATTTTGTTTGTCAGTTCACCAACAGCATCTATTTCAATCCACTGTTATTTTCAAAAACGGTGGCAAACTTTAACGGATTAACCGAGGTTTTTGGTATTTAACTGAAGAGCTTGATATTTTATTTTTATTTAATAAAAAGTTGTCAGACTTCACCAGAACAATGATTGCAAAAAAACTTTTTTCTACTCCAAGATCAAAAACCTTTTTGACTTTTTTGGAAAATCTAAATTTCCGACATTCAATTCTTTAACTTTTTTTATTTTTCAGTCTTGGCTTCTTTTAGATTTAAAGGACTAATAAACGATCAAGAATGGCCCCAGAAGAATCCACAAGGGATTCTACCAAGATTATCGAACTACAGAAAATTTTTTTATTAAACATTAGAAGTAACAAATGAATGCGCCGAAAAAGAAACCAAGCTTATAAACGATTTCTGCATGTTTTTTGCCATTATTTACCCTATAACTGTCGTAAATTTAACACCCTATTATATTAGGGTGGGGTTAAAATTAATTATTTTGAAAATTTCTTCTATTAAACCCCTAAATTTAATTTAAAAAAAAAACGTAATAAAATAAATCTACAAAATTTCAAAAATATTAATCATTTTGTATAAATATTATCATTTTAAATTTTATTGCATAAAAACTATTATTTTTAACTTCATTTTAACAAAGTAAGTTTTTATGTTTATTTTTTTAAGTAATTTTTTTATTCAAGTTATTATAAAATATGATAATTATTTTATATAAAATTTTGCTTTTTTTGAGTACCAGGGTGATATACTTTTGAAGAAATCTCTTTTAAATAATGTTAGGAACCCAGGGGGTTAGGAGTTGGGGCCCTGAAATATTTTTTAAGTCCTGAAATTATTTTTTAAGTCCTATGTTGTTATATAGAACAAACCTGTTATTATATAGAACAAACCTGTTATTATATAGAACAAACCAAGGGATGTAACAGAAGAAATTTTCAAAAAAGTCACTCTAATGTACGCTTATGTATTTAAAATTATGTATTTTTTATGTCCTATGTTATTATATAGAACAAACCTAGGGATGAAATCTAGGGATGTATTTGTAGAAAAGAGAAAGAGATACAGCTTTACGACAATGGGAAAGAGGTTCAAGCTTAGCAGATAGTCCAGGTCCAACAACAATTACAATGCGTTTTTGGACCTTGTCAAGAAGAGAAAGTGAATTGTTAGAAGAACCAGCCCAAATATGACAACAGTATTCCATACAGGGACGAATAAGAGATTTGTAGAGGTAGAGAATGGAATCAGAAGTAAGAAAATGGCGAGTACGATAAAGAGAAGCAACCTTAGCAGAAGCTAATTTAGCAATCGATTGTATATATGGTTTCCATGAAAGGTCAGTAGTAAGCAATAATCCAAGAAGACGTAAAGAGGAGGACTCAGTAAGAGGATTGCCATTCATTAATATAGGAATGTTGACCATATTACGGTAGTTGTTTGCAGTAAGCAACTGGGTTTTTTTAGAGTTGAAATTGACAAGCCACTGTGAACCCCAATCTATTACTGAAGTGAGATCGGATTCAAGATCAGCTGCTTGTTCTAGGCGATCGAAAAGAGAAGACTTTTTGTCAAGACAGGAGTATAAAGTTGAGTCATCAGCAAAAAGAGCTACTTTAGATGAAAGGTTGTGAGGAAGATCGTTTATGTAGATAAGAAACAAAACAGGGCCCAGGATGGAACCTTGGGGAACCCCAGAAGTTACTGGAAATAAACAAGAGTGTTGGCCTTCAAGGATGACTTTAAAAAACCGGTTAGAAAGAAATGATTTGATAATCTCAAAAACTTTCCCAGAAACACCATATGAAGCAAGCTTATGGAGAAGACCAGCATGCCAAACTTTGTCGAAAGCTTTAGATATGTCGAGAGCAATAGCCCTAGCCTCACCGCCTCCATCTAATGCACGATAAAATCTTTCAGTTACAGCAGTTAGCAAGTCGGCCGTAGAACGGAGGATCGAAAACCGTATTGATTGTCTGACAGTAGTTTATTTGACTCAAGATGAGATGTGAGGAATTTGTTGATCAAAGACTCAAAGACCTTGCTAATAACAGAAAGAAGACTGATCGGACGATAATTGGAGGGATTAGAATTTTCTCCAGAGTTTTTGAATATTGGAACCACAGATGCCATTTTCCAACAAGCAGGAAAACAAGACTCAGTCAAACACTTGTTAAATAGTTTAGAGAGAATTGAAGAAAGTTCTGGAGAACAATTCTGCAAGACTGTGACAGGAATGTTGTCTGGACCACAAGCTGTAGACGAGTTTAATTGAGATATGACTTTAGCAACAGAAGCCGGAGTGATTTGAATGTCTAACAATGGGTCAACCTGTTTGACTGGAATGGAAGGAAGAGAATGTCCATAAGATTCAAGAGTGGAATTAGAAGAAAAGTTCTTTGCAAATAGTTCTGCCTTATCCTTTGGAGAGGTAATAAGATCAGTCCCATGAATGAGAGATGGAATGTTAGAACTACCTTTGTTAATAATGCTGTTGAAGATTTTCCAAAAGTCTATAGAGCCTAACTTCTGCGATAAGATGCGAGATTTAGTGAACTGAGAATAATGGAGTTTAGCATCAGAAAGCACCTTTTTACATCGATTTCTTGCAATAATAAATAGCCGTTTGTTCTCAAGAGAGTTGTTCTTTGGAAAAAGATGAAAAAAATGATTACGATTGGATATAGCAGCTGCACAAGAAGGAGAAAACCATGGAGTAGAATGAGGCTTGACTTGAAACCGACGCGAAGGAATAAAAGCTTACATTCCAGCCTGAATCCAGGAGGTTACGTAGGAGGCGCATTTGTCAGCTGAGAGAGAAAAAACATTAGCCCAAGGACCATCACGAAGAAAATCACGAAAGGAATCCCAGTCAGCTTTAGGGTAGTAGTAGGTGGTGCGATGATAAGGTGAGCCTAAAAAAGAAGTACGAGAAGAAAGATTTATAGAGATCATTGCATGGTCAAAACAACCTAAGGAAGAAAAGGGAGAAACTGAACATAAGCTAGGGTCAGAGACAAGACATAAGTCAAGGAGTGAAGGTAAATGATAAGGGTTGTCAGGAAAACGAGTCACCAAGTAAACTATCTGAGTAAGAGATTGAGAAACGCAGAAGTTAAAGGCTTTAGTGCCAGCAGGATCAGTGGTGTTAGAGCCAAGCTATTCAGTGTGATGGCCATTAAAATCACCAACAACAACAATATTGGCAGAGGGGTAAAGAGAGAGGGCATGGTCAATTTGATCAGAGATAACATCTAAGAGAGTGCAATCATGGGAAGAAGGAGAACGATAAAGAACAAAGAGAAAGGTGATAGAGTGAAGAGGTGCTAGGCGAAAGCACATAAAAGAATGGTCAAAGGATTCGAACCTGATTTCACGATAAATAGGGGAATTAATGCGTATGTATACCCCTAAACCTAGCATGTGACTATTTGAGTCTTTACGAATCAAAGGATAGTATCCATCAACACTGACATCTGAAGAAGGAATTACAGAATTTGTTTCACTGAGTGCAAGCAAGTCTGGTGAATTTTGCAGGAGGTAAGACTCAACTGATGGAAAGTTGCTTCGTAGACCGCGAATATTTGTAAAAGATATATTAAAATATTTAGGTGGTGGGGATGGTTTTTCTAGGTTTTAAATTTTTGGTTACTTTGGTCATGATTTGGGTTTAATGAGAACTTGACTCATTCATAGATAGAGCACAGCCTCCTAATCAATGAGCTATGCAATTGTCTCAGTCCTGTTAATTAACCCTAAGCCGTGACATAGGGCTCCTTATGTGGCCTTGACAATGCACACCAAAAGCATTAGCAGGGACACCATCCATGCGCAACATGGCGCTGTTAATACTCTGATATTTTGCAGCTGTTGATGGAATCAGCCTCTCTGAGAGCTACCACAGAGTTCGGGAAATCTTACTACCAGCCGGCCTCAGAACCATTAAACTGAGTTTTAGAGCTGTACCCTCATATGGAGATAACAGGAAGAGTTGCATAGCCATTATCAAGGAGGCATAAGCAAAATTTTATGAGTAGAGTCAAGGAGATCCAACATTCATCATCCTAGGCAGGAAACAATGTAACACAGGTTACATCTACGCCAGCCTAATAGATGAAGAAGGGGTTCGAGGCTGGTTAGCAGAATTTTTCTGCTTACCCCTAAAGTCTTTGCCTAGGAGGCCTTCTACAAGACAGTAGCTGGATGCAGTTAACATCTGCCCAAGATGAGTATTTTTATCGAGACACCATCTCTAGCCTTTACTCAACCAAGAGCCCCAAGGCAGGGGATGTTTAGCTGGATGCAGTTAACATCTGCCCAAGATGAGTGTTTTTATCGAGACACCATCTCTAGCCTTTACTCAACCAAGAGCCCCAAGGCAGGGGAATTTTTAGTCGGAGTTTATTTCTCCTAGCCTTTGCCTAAGAAGAGCACACTCTGCAAGGCAGCAGGGCTTGTGGCAGGTGGTACTGGGAATAATGGTATTTAGGATACCAAATAAATCATTGGCGATTTAAAAAAATATATCCATATATATTTTGTAAACAAAAAACTATTTACTTCAATCAATATTTAATAAATACAATAGTAAGCAAGAATAATTTAAAAAAATTATGATATATACCATGAAAGAAATTTACAGATTTAACAGAACGATCAAAAACCATAGTTGTCAACTAAATTTACATCAAATTTTAATTAAAAATAAAATCAATTAAACGCTTCTATTAATAAACTTGTTTTTTAACTTCAAAACAAGTAAAAACCTAATTAGCAGGGAATTTGATTTTGCACCAGTTGGATGAGGTCGTATGCACGGGCTCTAGATATAAAAAGCAACTGTTAAACAATGAATCTATTACAACCGAAAAATATAAA